GCACTTAACAACAACAACAACATGCTAAAGATTATAGCCTTGGAAACCCTTGGAGATAGTCCTACTCTATCCTAAAGAGTCACCATGAGTCAGAGCCAACTTGATAGCAGCAAAGAATGCTTATGGAATCCTTAACGCATGTAGGGAGTTCCTAAGTGATCTATAAACAAAAAGTTCTACTTAGGAATTTTGTTAGAGCTATCTGGAGGAAATGTTTTCTCCACTAGAGTGGCTAGTTGATAGAATGTTCATCTAAATGGACTCATGACCATCTTGTCAACCCATGGGGAGGAATTTCCTATGAGTGACGCTAACCTGAAGAAAAGCAGAGCCTAGTGGTAGATTTCTAACTATATACTTTGAACGCCTTGATCTGACCATTCCTGAAACCTGTAACCTCTGGATTTCCAATAGTTATATGAGTCAATAAATTTATTTTGAAATATAAATCCTTTGGAGGTGGGTGGTTTCACTTGCAAGCAAAGGAGGACTTGAGTTAAAAGGTCATGTAGAGTCAAAACCAAGGGAGTCAACATGGAGCTACGAGCATAGCAGGGCTAAGAAACTAGAAGTAAGAGGAAGAGAGAGATTGATGAAGCAGACACTCACAATGAAGCAGACGTGAGGGTGGCCACATGGCTTCTGAGAGGCAAACACAGAAGGCTCAGGTCCCAAGTTTCCAAATGGCCAGTCTCAGTGAGGTCAGGCTATTGGCTGTTCCTGTTCTGCCCTCTTAAGACTGCTAGCTGTCAGTCATATCTTTTAATATTCCTCTCTCTGTGTCATTTTTTAGAAGCTAAAAAAACTTAATGATTTTCTTCTAAAACAAAAAGTTGCATTTCTATTTTCCTATCCTTCCCCTCTTTTTTTATTATGGTAAATATTGTTGTTGTTAAGTGCCATTGAGTTAGTTCTGACTCATAGCAATGCAGTATGGGGTTTCCAAGGAGTGGCTGGTGGGTTTGAACCATCGACAGTCTAGTGATTATCCTGCAGTACCACACCAGGACTCCACTTTAGTAATAGTAATATATTATTCATTCACTAATGTTGGTTCCTTAGTTTTGATAAATGGTAAGATTTGACAAACGATCACATAAGATGTTAACATTAAGGAAATGGTAAAAGGTATATGGAAACTCTCTGTATTATCTTGGAAACTTGTGGTAATCTAATTTTTTTTTTTCCAAAATAAATTGTTCATTAAATAAAGACAGAATTATTAGATTCTAACTTGATATTTTGAGTAACCGAAGGCTCTGAATTGAGTCCTATTCCCTCTTCATTCAAGGGAAGATTAGCAAATGTTGCTAAAGGCCAGGGAGTCAGTTCTGACTCATGGCGACCCTGTATAGGGTTTCCAAGGAGCAGTTGGTGGGTTTGAACAACCAACCTTGAGGTTAGCTATCCAATGCTTATCCTACAGCACCACGCCAGGACTTCTTGTTGTTGTTGTTGTTGTTAAGTGCCGTTGAGTCGGTTCCG